GCCGCCCAGGCAGGGGGTCGGACTTGAAGATCTACAAGGTCCCTTCCGACCCGACTTCTATGATTCTGTGAACCCCGGGTGAGGGTGGTGGGTGGGGGAAGAGGGAGCCCTTAGTTTTCTACAGAGTCGCAGGGCAATTTTATGAGCTTAGCTGACTGTCTTGAGCTCCTTGTACTGGAGCTGGGCAAGGATGAAACTATGCTCACCATCTTTGGAGTAGCGAGCACTTAGCTCCTCCCAACAGGGCAGGCAAAGACGAGTATGAGCTTACCTTCTTGCACTGGAGCCAGGCAGATGAGCTTGCACTTACCTGCTTGCATAGGGGCCAGGTGGGGAAGAATGAGTGCTTACCTCCTTGTACCCTGTGGCACCCTCAAAAGAATCTTGTGGCACCCTAGGGTGCTGTGGCCCCCTGTTGAGAACTACGGAGTTGCATGTAACCTCTAACAAGACTTTAGACTACCAGCATACTATTTGAGCTTTTGTGTGAAAATTGCCATATTGTGGTGAGGTGCATCATATTTCTTCTGGCTCCACCAGAATACTACACTTAAACTCAGAGCAAGCTTTTACACTCTTAAATGCAACATATCTATTTCCCTGTAAACCTGCCTTGTTAATTCTGTCTCTAGCAATTGGTCTCACCCTTTGATTTAGTCAAGGGCCTGAAGGGAAAGCTAAGCTTATTAGATAGGTGTTGAGCTTTTGAGCTATTTCAGCAGCAGAGGAATGATCTGAATTGGGGATGCTGATGTCAAGCTGTTGGACTGTCAGCTGCTAAAAACAAGAATCTCAGATAAGCACCATTAAGTTTGGGGTGCCCTTGTGGGGAGTAGGAAGCATGCAGCAAGTGACGTGGCTGGAAACAAAACTAATTTCCTTTTAATTGGGCAAGTGTAAGAGGAGGGCATGTTCTTACTTTGGCTTATGGACAGACAGACAGTCTGGAGGCCAAGGCTTTGTGCCAGAGAAACAATGAACAGGTACAGAAGACTTATTTATTGGCCCTGGAGGGTAATTCTATGAAAACAAGTACCCCTCTTGGGCCAAGCGGCACAAGTAGATGACAGATCTGTCTGCAGGTTCTTTGGGATCAGTGCCCTCATTCCAGTCATAATTCTTAACTGAACTGGCTCCATAGTCTGAGGTATTAATGGATACAGCGTTAATAATGCTACTGTGAGGAATTGCATTGACCAGGAAGTAGGAAATGCAGAAGAAAGTGAATCAGAAAGTCTGGCTTGGAATCAGAGGCTTTCACTAATTCAGAATAGTTCATAAATAGTTCAGCATTGCTACTGTTACGATGACTTGAACATGCTGACAAACTAACTCCAATGATACAAAATTTGCTTCCCTAATACTAGGTTTCTGGAGTTATCAGTGTCCCTGTGCCAGGTCATGTGGCATACCCAGTGCATTCAGAAGGTTAAGATACAACTGGTCTCTAACTGTAACAAAAATTTATTTTCAGCAGTAAAACGCAACAGAGTGGTAACACCTAGAGTATGGATTGTCCAGTTCCTTTGGCTGAATACCACTATTTATTCTTGATGTCTGCTGCCCTCTACACCCAAATGAGCTCTCTTCTTATCTTTCCAAGGCCAGTGTATGCAGAAATCCTCTCAAATAAGCATTGCAGTATTTTAGCAGAAAGAGACCTGTGTCCTGATTCTTGTTTTGCTTCTCTCATAGGTTCTTTGCACTGACTTCTCTTCGGCTGGTGTTCCTGATTGCATTTAGCCTGATGATAATAGTTTGTTTAGATCAATGGAAGAACAGAATTTGGCCTGAAATTCAAGGTAAGTTCTAGCAGTGTGAAGACACATCTGTGTTAGAAGTCTAAGCAAGCGCTTTTTGCACCATTTGGTTTTAAATAACTTAAGTCATAGATTCCCAAAGCTAAAAGTTGGTGGCAAGCAGAAATTCTGAAGAAATCTTTGGAGAGAATAAGCTCTTTCTTGCTGGTTGCTCTGGAAAACCTACGAAGTATGACAGTAGAAAATGAGCTTATTAAGAATGGGCTTTTTGGTGCTTTCTCTTGAGTTCCACTTTTTAATAAGACCTTGGGCTTCCTACAGTTTATCAAGAGATGTCTTAATACAGATTTTGAGATGTCATCCATGTTCCATCTTATCTGCACACTGGAAAAGATTATGAAGTGTCCTATGTGTAAATAAGTTTGAACTCTCAACTTCTTCTTCTGTTTGGCTGTAAAGTCTTGGAGATTACTTCTTATGGAGATGCAAGGGAACTATGCAAACAGATGGGTTGACCAGTGGTGCCCAAGTTTTTTTCCCAGGGGGATGGATTGGCAGTGCCCAGCCCATCTGTGGGCTAGATCCAGCCTGTGTTCCTGATTAGTGCCTGGTTACCATCTGGCCACATGGGAGGGAACAAGTCAGTTCCACAAGGCAAAGGAGCTTGACCCTTTGCCAGGCCCCAGCCCAACCCTATGGGGTGGGGGGGGTGTGGTCTAGTCCCACCTGGGTCTGCAGGGTTGTGGCCTTGCTTTGAGGGTGGGGGGGTGCAGTTAGGTTCTGACCTAGCCTAATAGGGAAAGGGGTGTGGTGCAGATCCCTTGGGAGGGAAGGGGACGTGACCCAGCTCCAATCCAGAACCAGGGGGTCTGGCTTGGCTTTGCATGGAAAGGGAGCGTAGCTTGGCTTTC